AATGTAGACGTAGACTCACCAGTAAAGCATTCTAAGAGTCAAAATTGTAAAACATTTCTTGCAAAACTGTCTGTGCTGCTTATACCCATTTCACTACTGATTTTAATTGATTCTAATGTCATAAGTAACAATCCTGCAGTACTTGCAGTTTACCAGCAAGCGGTGCCACCTAACTGCAAGAACCATTCTCCCAGTTTCACCACAAGACCGGGGTTTCTCGTCTTCTTTTTAAACAGCTTTGTCCACAAAAAATGTTACAAATCATCTTAGGAGATGGAATATTCTTATGACGACGCTGAATTTGGTTTGTCTTGTATATTAAATTAACTCGTATTACTGCTGCTATTTCACAGCTGTTTATCTCACTTTAAAACTCTCAAACGCCTAAGAATACCATTCAAACGCTTCCACTCTGTTTTCTAGAATTCAGCTTAAAGAACTGTTCCAGAATTCTGAATTACAAGTCCAGTGAGAGTGATAACAGTCCACTCGTGTACACATTGCACGTGAGCACCACAAACCCCCTCATCAGTACTGTCTGTCTGCAGATCATCGCCATGGCTGCTGTAAGGCTCCTGTCGTCTTAGAAGGACATTCCCATTGATCCACTCACATATTCTTTAAAGTCTGTTGCCACGTTCAGTAAAGAGCACACCTGTAGAGATGAAATATGTTAGGCAGATATTATTTTGATAATTAACAGTTAAAATAACCAATTAGAAACAGTCAGCTTGCATTCTAACAAAGAGATGATGGGGCATGTTTGATGACATTACCTGTCTAAACTTGGCACGCGCCCTTTCCATGTCCTCTTGAAGTTTCTCATACTGTGGGTCCTCATATGGGAAGTTCTGGATCAATCCAATCAAAGATTCCATAGCTTTCAGCCTTTTTCTAGAAGAAGAGAGAAAGTTAGCAGTGAGAGAAATAATCAGACTACCGGCTCCTGATGAAAAGCAGTGTTTGTTAAGTGTTAAAGAACATACCTTGCTTGAACATCACTACTGTTTTGAAGGAGATATTTAAATGCAAGGGCAAATCCATAATAAAAAGAAACCTGAAAAAAAAAAAACCTGAAAAGAAAAAAGCAGCAGAAGATCTGGTGTCTCATGCATGGTTTCAACAGCTTACAAAAAGTAAACATTTCACTTAAAGGGGTCATATGATGCGATTTCAAGTTTTCCTTTCTCTTTGGAGTGTTACAAGCTGTTCGTGAATAGATAAGATCCCTGAAGTTGCAAAGACTAAAGTCTCAAAATCAAAGAGATATTCTTTATCAAAGTTAAGACTCTGCCACACCCCCCTAAAACGGCTCGTTCTAACACGCCCCCACATATCTACCTCACTATGTGGACATATTTGCGTAATGCCGCCCAAATGTGCACGCAAAGAAAGAAGGCGTGGTTTCAGTAACCTCAGTTAGTGTTGAAGAAGCCATATCAGGGAGACGCTGTGTGTTTCTAGGCGAAAGCAAAAGCACTTTATTTGGCCTTCCGAAAGTAGATGCATTTAGGAATCTTTAAGATTACTTACAACAGAACAGCAATGCATTTTATGGACGACCGTGTCGTGAACCTAGGAGAGGAGGTAATTCTAACTTTGCTATGACAATCTGGCACTTCTGAA